CCCTCAGCACTGACCCTCCGACAGTGCGGTGCTGCCTCAGCAATGACTCTCCGACAGTGCGGTGCTGCCTCAGCAATGACCCTCTGACAGTGCGGCGCTCGCTCAGCACTGACCCTCCAACAGTGCGTCACTCCCTCAGCACTGACCCTCCGACAGTGCAACGCTCTGTCTCAGCACTGACCCTCCGACAGTGCGGCGCTCCCTCAGCACTGACCCTCCGACAGTGCGGCGCTCCCTCAGCACCGACCCTCCGACAGTGCAGCGCTCCCTCAGTACTGACCCTCCGACAGTGCAGTGCTCCCCTAGCACTGACCCTCCGACAGTGCACTGACCTTGCTTTCTCTCCACAGTTAATGCCAGGCCAGCTAAGGTTCTGCAGCAGCTTCGAGTTTTGTTTCAAATTCCCAGCATCTGCAGATCTCTGTATTTTGTTTAATGTTTGCTTCATGCTGCTAATCTGTGAGGCTGGAATTACATTCCAGACATTATGTCCTGAAGTTATACACTGAAATTCTGTCCCAGCAGCCACTGTGATGGGATTTGAACCTGTGTTTCCTGAGCATTAGCTGGGGTCTCTGGGTTATGAGCCAAATTAGATTTCCGGTGCACTGCGGTCTCCCTTGAACTGGGACTAAACAGAGTCAGGACTGGGATGGTGCTGCAGGAGCTCTGTAAGCAGTTACAGATTAGTGAGTAAAGATGGGGTGGTTCTGGAGTTTGAGTCTTGCCGTTTAACACAGAGATACTCAACTGTTAGTTTTGACCACCGCTCCTCTGCCTCTAGATGGTCTCTCCTGCCATCGCTCTGGCCTTCATCCCATTTCTGATGACCCTCATCATTCGTTACCGCCACTACTTCCTGCTGTTCTGGCGGGCAGTAATTCTCCGGAAGATTCAGGACTACACAACCGGCCTGTCCAGGGAAGAGAGGGCCTTCCAGTATGTGATGACGCACAGCATTCCCGGGGATCCGGAAAACATCATCAGCACCTTCGACACATGGTGCTATCGTTCGGAATACCTGAGCAACGTTGGGCCAGAGAAAGGTAAATGGGATTTGGTTGTGGGGCACCTGCAGGGGTGTGGGGTTAGCGGCACTTTGCCCTTACACTCCACAGCTGTGGGGCATCACTCTATCGAAGAGCCAGCGAGGGCACTGTGCTAATCGTGCAGCGAAATTCACCTTCAGACACTCACCACTGGCACCATTTCGAGGAAGGTCCCTGGAGATGTGGTCACCCCATGAGGTGTATTTGCTGCCACCATTTTCCTGTCAAGTTGGGAGCTGGAAGGAGCTGCTTGGTATAGTACTGTAGTGGAAAACCACAGGGCAATCTTAAAAGAAAAGCAGCTCCAATCTCAAACAAGATGTAGTTTATTCCCTGATAGCTACAAATTTCATTTGTTTATTCTCTTGTGCAACATGGGTGTTGCTGGCTGGGCCCAGCATTTCTTGCCCATCCCTAGTAGCCCTTGAGAAGGTGGGGGTGAGCTGCCTTATTGAACCGCTGCAGTCCATGTGCTGTGGGTTTACCCATAATGCCCTTAGGGAGGGAATTCCAGGATTCTGACCCAGTGACAGTTGAGGAATGGTGATATATTTCCAAGTCAGGATGGTGAGTGGCTTGTAGCGGAACTTGCAGGGGGGTGGTGTTCCCATGTATCTGCTGCCCTTGTCCTTTTAGATGGAAGTGGTCATGGGTTTGGAAGGTGCTGTCTGAGGATCTTTGGTGAATTTCTGCAGTGCATCTTGTAGATGGTACACACTGCTGCTAGTGAGTGTTGGTGGAGGGCATGGATACTTGTGGATGTGGTGCCAATCAAGTGGCTACTTTATCCTGGATGGTGTCAAGCTTCTTGAGTGTTGTTGGGGCTGCCCCCATCCAGGGCAAGTAGATTGTTGTGTTGGAAATTGCTACCAAGACAATGGGGAGACCTCCCTGGTTGGTCTTTCCCCTTTGAAATCCAGAGCTGTTCCTTCACTCAAGTCCATTTGACATCATCAGATTGGCTGGGGCCAAATATTATTTTAAGCATTGTAATAACCGAGATTGGAAGGTGCATGGATTCCTTTCGGATTTGAAATTAACCAGATGATAATCTGACTGTAACTTGTTTTGTCAGAGAAACTGGTCAGCCAGGTTACTTTAGTCAACGTGGAATATCTAGTTAACTATGCATAAAACACACTCAAGCTAATATGTAAATATTATTGACAATAAAGGTTTATAGTATGCAAAGGGAGATACAATTTATATTCTAATATCCCCAACATAAAACGAGGCAAATATGGGTAACAGACAAATCATGATTGAACACTCCACAGAACACATTAAACAGCAAATAAGAACATAAGAACATAAGAACTAGGAGCAGGAGTAGGCCGTCTGGCCCTTCGAGCCTGCTCCGCCATTCAATAAGATCATGGCTGATCTTCTCGTGGACTCAGATCAGATGTGATTGAGGCTAATCCCACAGATTTCTCAGCAAACCCGCAGGCATTAGTGACACTGCATGGCACCAAATCTCATCAAAACTTCACAACGGATTCCAAAAAGTTAACTTTTGACAAGAGATTCAAGAACAGCTTTTTCCCTGCTGTTATCAGACTTTGGAAAGGACCTCTCAGATATGAAAGTTGATCTTTCTCTGCACCTTCGTTGTAACTGTAACACTATACTCTGCATTCTGTTCTGTTACCCTTATGTACTTACATAAGGTATGATTTGTCTGGTTAGCACACAAAACAATATTTTTTCACCGTATTTCAGCATATGTGTCAATAACAAATCAAATCACCACCTTCTCAGGGACAACCAGACAGGGGCAATGTATACTGACCCAGCCAGTGATGCCCACAGCCCAGGGATAAACAAAATATACTTTTAAAAAAGTCTCCACTTGCATTCCAGTATCATATAATCCAAGAGGAGGCCATTCAGCCCTTCATACCTGTTCTGGCGTTTTATTATCTCATCATTGATCTGTATCAAAATGGTTTGCTTTGATTCCATAAAGCAGTGTTCCCCAAACCTTGTCCAATGTGACTTTGATATTACACCTCAGAGTTCATGTGATCTCAGGGTGAAAACCTGGAGGATATGAGAGCTGTTGAACCTTCTTGAGGGGGATAGAGGTGAAGAAGGCAAAGATCCATAACTGCCCTGAGAAAATATTGTCATGAAATGTTCAATTGCCCCTCAGTCTCGTCAGCTTTTTGTTGAAGGGTGAGAGCTCACAGTGCTTCATAATAAAGTATGTTTCCAAATGTTGTTATGTAGCAATAACACAGCACAGCATACAGCAAGATCCCACAAACTGTGATTCTCACTTCCTTCTCTTAATATATCCTAACCCCAACCCGTTTGTAGGGAAGATCCTGGAACGCCTGATCTCTGAGACTGTTCCCTTAACTGTGCTGGAACTGGGGACTTACTGTGGTTACTCAGCTCTCCGTATGGCCAGGAACCTGTCCCTCAGTGCCAGGCTCTACACGGTGGAGATGGACAAGGGGAATGCAGCAGTGGCTGAGAAAATAATCCGCCTGGCAGGATTCGACGAGGACACGGTCAGTATTGCAGCTGATTCATCGCCAACTGCAAGGACAGAGAGAGAGAGAGAAAGAGAGAGAGTGAGAGAGAAACACAGAGATTGCTCACCCAGTCAAAACTCACATTTGTTTCATTATTTTACTTACTACATTTTGTCACCTCTACCTCAGCTCATCAGTTGGTAAAACTCGCAACTGTGTGTTTGTTAATGATGAGGCTAGTTAGTGATTCTAACACAGAGGGGATGATAACATAATGCACACTGTGTGATGAGGTCAATCTAGAGTGAGCTTTACTCTGTATCTAACCCCGTGCTGTCCCTGTCCTGGCACTGTTTAAGGGAGACAGTGTAGAGGGAGCTTTACTCTGTATCTAACCCCGTGCTGTCCCTGTCCTGGCACTGTTTAAGGGAGACACTGTGGAAGGAGTTCAGGCAGGAAGCTGACACAAGATCACAAGTTGGACAATGTCCATTCTGAAGTCCTTCACCTGATGAACACAAATTTCACCCTCGGCTTCAATAGGTTCAAATAAAGGTTTCGTGCGAAATGATTTACAATGATTCTGTTTTTAATAGGTGGAGCAAATCATTGGTCCAACTGATGAAGTAATCCCTCAGTTGAGAGAAAGTTTTGGAGTGGACAAGTTTGACTTTGTTTTTATGAACCATTGGAAACGCTGCTACCTCAGGGACCTGCAGTTACTGGAAGACTATGACCTGCTGCAGGAGGGAAGTATTGTTGTGGCAGACAACGTGATCTTCACTGGAGCTCCCCACTTCATGCAGTACGCCAAGAGCTGTGGCAAATACAGCTGGAAAATCCACCGCACACACCTCGAGTATTTCCGACATATCAGAGACGGAATGGCAGAGCTAACCTACATTGGGCTCAAGTGAAGTACATAGCACCAAGTCCTTCAGGAATTGAAAGCACAGTTCCTATGGAGGAAAAGCAGAATGTTTGAGATTGAGAAAGTGTTCTTAGATTCAATCCTAATGTCTCATCATCTCCCTTCAATTCTCCTTTCAACCCATGTCATTGAGTCAAAGTCCCTCAATCCCTACCTCTCCATGTGTCCCTTCATCCCTACCCTCTCCCTGTTTCCCTCAATCCCCACCCTCTCCCCTTATCACTCAATCCCCACCCTCTCCCCGTGTCCCTCAATCCGCCCCTCCCCGTGTCCCTCCATCACCACACTCTCCCCTGTGTCCCTCAATCCCTACCCTCTCCCTGTGTCCCTCAATCCCTACCCTCTCCCTGAGGCCCTCAATCCCTACTCTCTCTCCGTGTCCCTCAATCCCCACCCTCTCCCCATTTCCCTCAATCCCCACCCTCTCCCCGTGTCACTCAATCACCACACTCTCCCTGTGTCCCTCAATCCCTATCCTCTCCCCGTGTCCCTCAATTGGCCTCATAAGGCAGTCGTCCCAAAGCACATTCTTGATTCTTAACTGCCCTCTGAAGTAGATTAACAAGTCACTCACTGATTAAAAACTTCTACAAGTGGTTTATGCATCGACTTATCAAAATGGTCCTCAGGAGAGTGAGGGATGGGCAATGGTATCACGGTATTGTAAACCTGACACCCAGGAAACGTGCTGGGGACCTGAGTTCGATTCCCACTGCTGTAGACGGTAGAATTAGAATTTTTAAAATATCTGGATTCAAAACTCTAATGATGACCATAAATTGTCATAAAAATTCATTCCAAAGTGAAATATCATTTAGGGAAGAAAATCGATCCTCCTTACCCAGTCTGGCCTTCACCTGACTCCAGACCCACAGCAATGTGACAAGCTCTTAAGTGCCCACTCTAATGGCCCAGCAGGTACCTCGGTTGTAGAAACCAATAAAAAGACTCAAGGAAGGACTGAAACTGGACAGACCACCTGGAATTGGCCTAGACACCAGAAACTCAGCCCTGTCGACCCTGCAGAGCTCACCTCATCAATGAGTGGGGACTCGTGATAAAGTTGTGGGACAGTGCGGCACTCCCTCAGCTCTGACCATCCAACAGTGCAGTGCTCCATCAGCACCGACCCTTCGACAGTGCGGTACTCCCTCAGCACTGACCCTCCGACAGTGCGGTACTCCCTCAACACTGACGCTCCGACAGTGCGGCACTTCCTCAGCACTGACCCTCCCACAGTGCGGCGCTCCCTCAGCACTGACCCTCCGACAGTGCGGCACTCCCTCAGCACTG